TTTGCCCCTTTAAGAAATGAAGAAAGGAGTGCAACCATATTACAATATTTTGACGATACTCCATCTGGCAGAGTACGGAGAGATTTTGAAACTTATAAAGACCTCAGACAGGGTGACAGCCTTGCCTGTCTCTTGTTTAATGTGGCCTTGGAACTTGCAGTCAGATGTACAGATGGGAGGAACCATATTTAACAGAATAAGGGGAGAATTATTATGTCCATGAAGGAAGCGTTTCTCGCACTCCAAAGAAGCAGCACAAAGAGTAGGCCTGACTGTTTTTCATACTCTGACTCAGCACGAGTTGTAGTGTCGAAGAAGAAGTGTATGAAGAGCTGGAGCAGAATTAAATATTACACCAACTACAGTGTGGAGAACTCATTGCAGATTGACTTAACCCATATCATTATCAATGGGTACAAAATTTATTACCAAGATTTTCGGGAAAGAAGAAATTTTTCAGATTAGTACTTAAATCAAGTTGAGCATAATCCACAATTTTCTGGACAGATGAAGCTACTTTTACAAGAAGCTGTATCTTTAATCAGAAAAATAATTATCTCTGGTCGCAGGAAAATCCCCATGTAATTCGTGAGCTTCATTTTCAGCACCAGTTTCAGTGCAACGTGTGGTTGGGGATAATATTTTAATAGCGTCATTACTTGCCACTTCGACTCAATGCGGGCACATTTCTGGAATTTCTTAATAATGATTACTATGATTTAGTTGTACGTATTCCAGTACAACTGAGAAGGGACATGTGGCTTCAATTAGATGGTTGTACTGCACATTACGGAAAAGGTCCATGACAATGGCTAAACGTTAATTATCCCAATCAATAGATTGGGACCAGTGGTTTGCCCTGCACGCTCTCCAGACCTGACACCACTGGATTTTTTTGTTTGGGATGACATTAAACAAATACTATACAAGTCCTGTCAATGACCTTAATTCCTCACGAAGAAGGATAATTAAATCTTGGGAAACAATAACACATATCCAGTGCTGTTCTGCCACTGCTGCTCTTGAAGAAAGATGCCGAACCTGTCTTAATGTTCAAGGAAATCACTTAAAATGTTTGCGGACATACCTTCGCTTTGAACAACATTTAATACGAATGTTAATATTTTCATTTAATTAATAAAATGTGGCCCCGTGATCTCCTAATGTAAACATATCATTAGAGTGCTACCATTGGGTAGTTACTCAGCAAGTGTTTTTCATGTCATTATATACATTATGTTCTAATTTACTAGATGTATTTATTTAATACAGTTGTAAATATCTTTAAGAAATATAATAAAAAAAAAAATTAATAAAATAGTTGGAACAAATAAATGAGTTTTATTTACTTGATATAACATAAATAATTCATAGCAATGAACATCTTTAGGTGTGAATATCTCCTAAATAAAGCGTTTATGGACATGGCATACCTTCATAGGAATTTTTTTTCTTGTTTTGAGATCATTTCATATTTTCAGTTTGGCCACTTAATTCTGAAACACTCTCTATATTTAAATGGAGTGAGCGGCTTTATTTATATTAATATTTTTTAGGGAGAAACCAAGTTGATTTTCGTTTTTTCACACCTCACAAAACTCTAAAATACGAATTTTCATAGCAATTGAAGTTTTAAAATTTTTTGCCTAGACTGATACACCCTTTGAAATTTTGTCAACAACCATAAAAATTGTGATAACTTGGAGACGACTCCTCCGAATCACACAAAAAATATTAGGGCTCTGTATGCTATACAAAATGGTATGAAATGAACCTGACCTTCATTAACAAATTCGTAAACTACAGATATAAAATAAAAATGTTTGAGAAGTTTTTCTACATTTTTAGCCTTAAAAAGAATAAAATCCAAAACTTATTGATGTGGTTTGGAAGAGCAGTAATTTGATTTTCCAATGGTTGTACTGATATGAAATTTCGAGTAAATCTTAAGAAGTTATGAATGCTTTAGTTAAGGGCCGGAAAAACAATCCTCACAGAAAATCAATTACTAAAATTAGCAATTTTTTATGTCAATAAAAATTTGTATTTATGAGTTTTAAACAACACTAAAACAAATGTAACTTTATGTTATTTAAGATACTTCAAAACTCACTTAATTCTCTGTCATTAATATTTTTTCTTATTTTGCACAAAAAAAAAAATCAATTGGCCTATAATAACCTAAAAATACGGGCAAAGCAAAGGCAAAAATTAACATAAGTTTTGTTTGAAATTATTTTAAAAATATTTTTTCTCGGTTCCTTGGCATTGGCAAGATCCCTTGTGCATGGGCCTAATATTTTTCAACCTACTATCACCAGAGAAAGTTTCATTGAAATCAGTGACCCTATGTCCCCCTCCCTCCCTTTGTTAGTATCAGTATGGTTTTATTATCAGCTCAGTTCCTTGGACTTTTAAGAGTATTTCCTCATTTTGGTCTAGGATTAAGAGGACTTTCAGATCATCATAACTCCACTATACTCAATTATAAATCATTCACTTCCACAGACAAGATAGGATCAAATAGAGGAGAATTTCAGCTTTAGTTGTGAAACCATTTTAACAATAGCTCTTAGATTTCTTTGTTGTTAAAATGACGGCATTTTTAAATTTTCAATTAATCATCTTTTTCCATAACATCTCAAATCAAGGCTCTATTTTTAGAAAATTGACATATGCTAGAGTAACTTGTGTTTAATTCTTTAGATAAGCTGAAATTCGTCTCACCATTTTCAAGATGGCAGGAAATAAGAAACTTCTTTTCTACTGTGAAATTTTTTTCTTCTACACATGATTCATCTTATTTGAAGAAAATAATGAAACTGAACAGTAAACAGTTCACTAAACAGAAATGAGGAGGTCCTTGAAGCCCGTCGCAAAAACCGATCCTTTATTATTTGTTGGGCCATGAAAATAAGATACTATGACCAATTGGTCAGTAAAACTGTGTTTGCTATATCTGATAAAAAATACATTTATTCATGACCTTTTGCTAAAAAGAAGTAATTACTATTGTAATGAATTATTTTTAATAAATACAATTATTTGCATAAAATCTACAAAAATCAAGTTCTTCATCAGTCCCTCAATTGAAACAATTATTATAAGTCAAACCACACATCTGATCTGATCAAGTAGTTTTTTAATTCCAAAATTTGATATTAAGAGACATTATAATAAGTAGTGATGTTGTAAGTTTTTATAATGCAAATCATTTGCTTTTCTTTTATATTAGGGAATATAATCCTGGAGTCTTACTTGCTATTTTTATATATTATTTCTCAAAAGTTTTTTTGTTGGTATGCCATATCTTGTCAATTCTTTATCAAATTCAGTGATTAAACCCTCATTTTGAAGATAACCTCCTTCAGGTGGGAAAAATAATCACATCCTCCTGGTATTTTAGGAGGAAAAGAAACTTTGTTTGCGAATAACTCAAAAAGTAAATGTTTTTTCTTTATTGAACCCATGATTTATTTTTTCATTATTACTGAATTTCCTAAAAATAAAAAAATAACATTGATTTCGGATGATTATTTGCTGAGATTCGGATTATTGTGTTGTTCATAAATATTTTGGTTTAAAACAACAAGGAAGTTTTATAATAATTTTCTTTTCCTTGATCGATGTAATACAATTACCAAAAAAAAGAAATGATTATGTTGAATTATTTAATTTCCTTATTATTTTGTCATTTGTTCAATATTCTCTGTGAAGTATTTGTATGGGCCAACTAGTACATCAATATTATAATTCATTTAACTATTTAAGTATGTAAAATGCCATAATTTGATTTAATGTGTGTTTTATGTTATTTTGGGGGAAGTAACCATGTAAAAACATATGACACCGAAGTGTGATTCCTATTCTCTAAAAATGCATCTTCCCATTCTTCTCTATCACCTCCATGAAACAGCATTCAAATATTACTTCATGGGTTGAAGGCTTGGAATGTAATTATTTGATCGCTGGACTACTAGTTAAGTCACCATTATGCTTCTCCTTTCTCATGGATTTAGAGGTTTCTGTCGATATTAGCTGCTCCCTGCCAGTTCTCATGAGTAACTATCGTCAGATGGGCCTGACTCTCCATTTTTCCTATCCTATCCTATACTGTTAAAAATTAAGCTGTGTGTCTATCTGTCATTAAGCGATACATTACAGCATGTTTTAAGGAGGCTTTTCTTATCTTATGAATACTAGCCTCAATAGTTGTTTGTTATTGATCTTCGGACAGACCAGTGAGCATCTGTTATTGTGATCTTCAAGAATAGTTCTAGTTAATGATTATGACTGTTAATTCACTTTGTTAACCATTTTCTTGCATTCGTAACACAACTGGGGATCACTTTTTATCATGCTTAGGATGTTTGCATACAATCTTTTGCAATGACTATGAAAGCATCATAATTTTAGATGTTTTTCTTTACCTGTAATATTTCCTTTTCTCTTCTTGTTTTTCACCGTCTGGTTCTTTGAAGCTCATGTCTAGGTTGGAAACCTTTGCTTCTTTATGTGCTTTTGATTCCTTTAACTCCTTCTCAGGCTTTTGTTGCAGGCTTATTAACTTTTGTTCGTTTAGTAGTTAAAAACTCTTTGTGATATTCCAACTTCTGATTAAGGACATGACATCTTGCAATTGTATGACCTTAACTTCTGTCTGATTTGTAGTTGTTTTTTTTTTTAATAAAGATTATGGATGTAACTCTCTAACAATTTAATGTTGTTATGGGCATTTGCATGGTCTTAAAAAATGCATGTAGTACACCAGAGCTTTCTCCCTTAAAATCACCCATTCCTTTTGTTCTATTTTCATTGAAAGTACTAGGTACTAAAGTCGCAGAGTGAGGCACTTCTCAAGCACTTGTTGGTCCCCATTTTGAAGATTCGATTGGTATGTTTCATTTAGCGAGAACTCCCAATATAAAGTCATTAATATATAAAATTATTGTTATTAGTGATATTATATATTCTGTTATAATTATTATCATTATTGACAGGTGATTGGATTTTGGAAGAAGCTGTAAAAGATGCTCTACCAAATGATATTGGCTTAACTTTCAAAGAAAAGGCTAAACATCGTGCTATTGCTTCTAAGCTAAGTAAAGAATTTATCTTTCGTGATAAGCCATTCATTTTACAATATGAAGTTTTACACCAAGATGGTCAAGAATGTGGCGGAGCATATATGAAACTCATTTCAAAGCAACGCCCTGTAAAGGCATTGAGTGATTTTAATGATAAAACCCCATACACTATAATGTTCGGACCAGACAAGTGCCCTGTCAGTAAGGTAACCAGTTTATGTCTATACTATTTAGTGTTAAATGAGTATTAAGTTGGCCAACCAAGTTAATGTGGGAATAGTTGGCATACAAGGGTAGACAAAAATATATTTGTTACTTGGATTAGTGACCACCCTCTGATATTTATTTGGTCATCAGAGTAAAAGGAAATTTAGAATATGTATTAGGATATTTATCACTGCAGTGCTATTAAGAGCATTTTCAAGTCAATTGTTGAATAAGGGTTATAACTTTTTTTTTCTAAAAATATACATTTATTGTTATAGAAATTTTGTTGTATTGACTAAAATGAATGAATCACAAAATTAATGATTCATCTTGTAGCACAGTTTGGCAAATATTATCTAATCGCCAATTGGGGACTAAACTTGTAGTCACAAAAAATAATCATGACTAATGTGTTTTTTTTAGTACTTAGCTGTGACTGATATAAATGGCTAATAGGAAAATAGTTGGTGTCGGGAAGTGACGACCCCATTGCCAAGTAGTCATACGGCAATCAGCCACTGGCCCTGCAGTTTGTGGGGGACATCTATATTGATACTCACACATTATACTTAGCACATTACACTACACTCACCCATACACTACAGACTAAGGTCACCTATAGTACACACCCTAGGGTCACCTCTTCTAGGTAGCCGCACCCGGATGGGGCTAGTCAGGAAACACTAAGCAGACAGTTCCTATACCTGACTCGGGGGTAGTAGCATGATACCCTTCTTCCCTTCAACCAACTCATCAAAAAAGCTCAATGATACGATGGACTGATCATTGGAAAACGACACAGCAACTGTCAAATGGACTATAATTTAGCTACTTGGAACATTTTATCATTGTATAGATCTGGGACACTTCAAACCTTCCTGGACACCCTAAGCAATTACTCAATAGGCATTGCTGCCATCCAGGAAATCAGATGAACCGGAAATAGAAGCTTCAAGAAGGGACAACACACCATCTACTACAACTGTGATGATTGCCTCCACACTTTTGCCACAGGATTTGTTACAGGAAAGAGACTTGCCCCACTTGTGATAGACTTTAAACCCAGGCTATGTAGGCAGCGACTTAAAGGAAAATTCTTTAATTTTAGCCTAATATGTGCTCATGCTCCTACCGAGGTCTCTAATGAGGAAGATAAAGATATTTTCTTCGAAGAGCTAGAGGAATGTTATGACAAGTGTCCCAGCTATGATATGAAAATTGTGAAGGGCGACTACAACACCCAAATTGGAAAGCAGCCAGTATACAAGCCCACTATCAGTCAATATAGGATGCATTACAGATCAAATGATAATGGGAGGCGCCTGATAAACTTTGAAGCTTCCAAGAGTCTGTTGATTGGAAGCATGTGCTTTCCTCATAAAGAAATCCACTTGGGAACTTGGCGCAAACATGTTCCCAACAGACGAGTCACGGCATCCCAAATTGACCATGTGCTCATGATCATGAGGCATAGGTATTCACTCCTTGATGTTAAATCTTACAGAGGTAATGCTGACTCAGACCATTTCATGGTTGTAACAAAAATAAGAGCCAAAATATTGATCGCCAAAATTAGGCATATAATTATTCACTTATTGGATTCTGGTAGGGATAGGTTACGGAGTATTTTCCATTTAGATTTGGAGTCTGGAGCATTGCACAGGGCATTATGGAAGTAAGTAATTTTAGCAAGTCGGACTGCGGATTGGGTTCCATTGCGAAGCGCCTTGAAAGACGCATAATCCACAGCTAGACGGGTTCGACGGTATTTGTGCCTTGCTGCATCTCTTCCCCTCATCATTTCCTTTATTTCACGGGTCAGCCAAGTTGCAGTGGGACGGCGTAAGGTTTTGGTTTTCAGAGGAGCGTGGATTTCTAATATGAATTGTAGGTTTGAGGTCAGGGTGGATACCATAGGATCAATGGAGTTGAAGAAATATATATGGTGTCCCATTGGACAGAATTAAGGTCTGGTTGAAGGGATTCATAGGAGAGAAGATTTAAATTGCGGTATGAAACCATTTTGGGAGTGAAGGATTTCACGGGTAGGTCGTACGTAATTTGGATCAGGTCATATGATGAAAGAAATGGAACTGGGTGTTGAGAACAGGAAAGGATTTTGATGGGGGAGTCAGAGATATAAAGGTCCAACCATATATCGGAAAACTGCTTGTGGTGGGTAGGAGAATAAAGAACAAGATGAAGGTTAAGGGAAAACAACAGGTTGGTAAGGAAGTATTTTTCGGGAGATTGTGAAAGCATGTTCACGTTAAAATCACTGGTGATGATAATATTGGTGTAGTTGGAGACCAGGTTAATAAGGTTGTCAAACGGAACACGAGGAGGGCGGTAAACTACGGAATACAACAGAGGAGAGGAAAGAGAGGAAATTTCAACGAACATGTATTCTATGTGAGGAAAATCACGATAAGGAGACTAGTAGGATTTTGGCCTAAGATTGTATATATAGAATGAATATATGATATATTCATTATAATAAATAGGAATTTCGTTATTTTAATAGTCTTAATGATGTAAGCTTTAAGCTTGAGCTCCGATTAAAATGTACTTCAAAAATTTTATAATAGCCCAACATTACCAATAAATAATTTGTATTTAAAGTAAAGTGGTAAGTGAAAGTTGTGTGTTGTGCACACCAAATTTTTTACTAATATTTTCATAACCTATTATATTAATTGTGTAAAATATATATTAATAAAGATTAGTCGTGTCATATTTCAACTATTCCAGTGAGCAGAAATATTTACTAAAATAACCTAGAAAATTCAGTAAATTTGATAAAAAGGTTTTGGTAGACACATTGTTAAAAAATTTGTTATTGATATTCATTCTTTTTCTATATTTTGTTGTGACATGTATTATATAATAGTTAATTATTAGTGTCTCTTTAGAATGTAACATTGTTGATTTCTGAATTTTTGGGTAGATCATCAATCTTAATTTTTTCTCAATTATTTATATTTTTAGTCTCTTTAGGTAAGTTGGTGCAAGTTTCTTTTTATTTGCTTCAGGGGAATTCTCATTTTATTTTTGTATATATAAAAGTTTATTAATATTTACCTATTTTGATAAAATATACTCAGGATGTCATTAAATTGTATGAAGTGGTATATAAAATATATATTTTTATGTTCTATCTTTAATTTTGAATTATTTTTCTTCTTTTTTTTTTTTTAGTTACATTTTATATTTCGGCATAAGAATCCACTAAATGGAAGTTTTGAAGAGAAGCATTGTAAACCTCTAAAACATAAGATAGATGAATCATTTACTGATTTTAAGCCCCATTTGTTCAAATTGGTTATTAAGCCAGACAATACATTTTCAATATATGTCGATCATAAGGTAATAGAACATTTATTATTGCTAATTTTATAAAATATAATTTTAATTAATGAATAAATTTTATTCATTGCTTCCCGGCTTTCTTTGAAATATAGATAGACTTCAAGTAACTTTTTTTTTTAATCTGCTCATTTATGATGTTTAAATTTTTATCAAGTTGGTTGATCTCGCTAAGATAATCTATAATAAAGCAACTAACTTATGGTTTTTTGACATAGCAATCTTTTTAATATGTGCTTCAGACACCATTGGGGAAGTCAATTTTTTTTTAATTGGAAATAAGCAAAAACTTAGTTCAGGAATGAACTGTAAACTGACTAGGGTAAGCAAGTACTCTGCCATAGTGTGCTTTTTACACCATTAGAAGTAGAAAACTTATTGGCACATATTGTAATTCTTTTGATTTTCTCTCTTTCATTCTGTCTGCCAATGATGACTGAGCCAAAGTATTCGAAGTTGTAAACCATATCAAAAGTATACACCCCTACAATGTAAAGTTACTGTTGTGTATTCACTTATCTCTTTTTATCCTATTGTTAGGTTACCCTTTCTCTTATATACTGGAATAATGATCCCTTCACTCCAATCCCTATGTATCGATTCTTCATCTCAAATCTGTGCTATGAGCTCTTGCAGTTCTTTTCCCAGTTCACTTCCGTCATATTTGTACAATTCTGCTGTCAAACCATCTATTCCAGGTGATTTCCAATTCTTCAGTTTTGTAACTATTCCTTTAAATTTCTCTGCTTCTGGAAGAATGTGCTCATCGTCAAAGTCCTGTTTGGAAATTTCTTGTATATCATATACAGAATCTTTTCCAGTTTCTGTGATTAAGTCTTCCATCTGTTCTGTGAAAGATTTTTCAAGAATTCTCCAGTTCCTGTATCTCATTATTTAGTGACATTTTCTTTTCTAAAATCAGCAGTTTCTTTACCTGTTACCTGCCATCAGATTATTCTCTCAATTTATTGTGCGTATTTCTGGCTAACTGTCTGTAAATGTTCCATTCCTATCCTTTATTGCTCTTAATCAAACCAGGTATTTCTGGAAGTTTTATCTGCCAGCCAACATCTTAACTTTCCACAGGAATTTTCATTCTGCTGCTAGTATGTTTTTTACCCCAGTTGTAATTAACTGTTGAAATTTTTTTCTCCTTTTTCATCTTTAAGAGATGCCACATACCACACCTTGTGTTTATTTTGATTTTTCAGAAGGAATTTTATTTGTTGTTCAAGTTTCATCATAGTGGGAAACTGGTCCGAGTTCATGTCATTGTCTCTGTACGACCCCGCATCGTCGCCATTATTAAAAATTCTGCTTGACAGTAACAGATGATCTATTTGGTTTGCTGCAGTGTTACCATCTAGTGAGTGCTAGGTTTTGTTATGTGGAAATATGGTTCTCATTACTACCAGTGACTTGAAGGCTGCAAAATGTATTATGCGCTCACTATTCTCAATTGGAGATTTATGCGAGCTACTTTTTCCAACTATAGGGAGGAATCCTGCTTCTTTTTCAATCTGTGCATTGAAATCTCCCAAAACAATTTTGAGGTCGTGTGTTGGGCAAATGTCATAAAATTCATAGGTGTCGTGCTCTAATTGTTCATAAAATTTCCCTGATTTCTTCGCCTCTTTCTTCTGTTGGGGCACGGGCATTCACGATGCTAATATTATGAAACTGTTCTCTCACCCTAAGTTTACAAATTCATAATATATGCAGGAAATCTAATATTGAATTATTCAGTTTGGTATAGTAGAAATAAGGAACCCAGCACCAAACTCGTGCTTTGCTCCACTGCAGGACAATGAAATCATTTCCTGCCACACTTCCGATTCCAATTCTCATCCATCTTATTTATTACATCCAGATTACATTTCTGGGCCTCTAATCTGATTTCTTATGTAGTAGACATCCCCCGGTATTTACTCCTTTATGTGACATTGTGTGAGGGAATGAGAAGGAATATATAATATATAGGAATGTGAGGTTGCACTGTGAATTGTACTCAAATTGTGGACAAATTGTTCATTGAAAAATCTCATATCGATAAACAATCGATGAAGAAGGAAAAAGGTCCGGTTAGGTAGCAGTAGCTGGATGAGGATGCCAGGCAAAGAAGGAGGCACTTGAGGCTTGGACACGAAGACGAGAAGACGTCATCTGGGAAGAGAGGCTTACTACATTGAAGACTAAGAATATCTAGCCTACAGTTATAAGATTTTTATACATTAATTTATTACAGTTGTTAAAATAAATTGTTTCATTATAAAAGTGAAAAGTCATTTTATTTAGTTGTCCTATAAGCCTCACAACTGAAGAATAACAAACCAGGTGAGTCAATTCATTCAAAGTGTGTTTACTAAGTCCCACATTTCATATATATATATATATATATATATTGTTTCTTCTCACTCAGTGTCACAAAAAGGTATTAGATTCCCGAATTTCCAACGATAGTTAAACACCCTCAAAAGTCTATATGCAGTGTCAGGGTTTTGTTTTAATAATCACAAGTGTAAATAACTTAGTTCCCCGATAAAAAGAGGAAGGCTATTCGCTATTCCCGCCAAAACAAATTATTCAGGTCCAGGTCATTTGCTTAATTGTTTCTAATATCCAATACTTGATGAGTGAGATGATTCGTAACAAGATAATTTATTTTACAATAGGTTGGCTGTCAACTACTGGGGACTGGCAGTAGTTCAAGAAATGCCATCTCTTCCAGTGGAATTATTGTAAGGGTTAATGATGATTATAGAACCTTTTCTCTGTTTTGTCTGTGTCCTATACATCTGCTAACAGATATTTGAATCAAGATTGGAAGGCATGCCTTCTCTCTCAAATCATTTATTTCTTGTTTCTTGAGTCCAGGTCCCACAGCAGTATAACAGAATGGCATTATCACAGCATTGTACACCCTTAATTTGAGATTTATAGAGATTTTGGGTACCTTTAAAAGAGAAAAACAAGCTCTGTTAGTGTTTGGTATATGTTGTTCTATTTCTGATAGTTGCTAATTTATTGAATTTATTAATTCAAAGGATGATTGTAATGTAATCGCTATTAACTCAGTTTATATATGTATGTGTTGGTTCATACCCAACAATATCTTATAAACTGTATTTTTTAAATTCAAAGTTTGCCAGTTTTTTTTTTTTGGACCCAAATGTAGTTCGAGATTAAGACAATGATTGAAAATGTTAAGGTCAATAAAAAAATCTGAATTATTAGCTTAACCTGTATGCTAATATGCCTACTTATAGCCTATACGTTATATAATGATTAAAAAAGTCAGCAGTTTTAATGGTATATAAAAAAAAAATCTTAAGAATTAAAGAAATTTCTTTTATGTCACATGATTTTTGTTTCTTCAGTCGTATTATAATAAAAATTTTTTTTCAGTTGGTCAATGATGGATCATTGTTGATAGATTTCACCCCTCCTGTTAATCCTCCTTCAGAAATAGATGATCCTTCTGACAAAAAACCTTCAGATTGGGATGACCGTGAAAAAATAAATGACCCATCTGCAAGAAAACCTGAAGATTGGAATGAAACGGCACCTTACCAAATTCTTGATCCTAATGCTGTGAAACCAGATGATTGGTTAGAGGATGAGGCAATTAATATCAGAGATCCAAGTGCTGAAAAACCCGATGATTGGTTAGTTTCCTAACTTTTTTTAACTCTACCAACTTATAATTTTGATTGTTGTTTATAAATATATTATTTTTCTCATAGCATAATCATTTCAAATAGGTTTCTTACTTTTTTCATATTATCCATTTCCATTTTAAATATTTTACCACTATTTGTATTTTTTTTCAACTATGTGATACTGGATTTCCCTTACTTATTTTATTTTTGTTTTGTTTCTTCAGTTTATCAGTTATAAGTTATCTCATAGTAATTGTTTTCAGTTGCTTAATTAATGTTTTTTGTGTGTTGAACATAAATCTGAAATTGTCTAACAAAATATTTTTACAACAAATATGAAAAAACCTTAAATTAAATTAAATATTAAAAATGGGTAATAAATTATGAATTTTATTAAATAATATCAATCAGAAGTCAATTATAGAGATTGTTATTACTTAAAATATATTTAAATTGGAGTAGACGTTCTCACTGATCTATTAATGTCCGTGTTACAATAGATGGCTTCTTCTTCTTCTTTCTCTAGCTCCTTTGTGCCGTTAAGCGTGGAACTGCAGTCTCAGCCCATCTTGTCCACTGATCTCTGTCCCTGGCTAGTCTTCTCATCTCGGGTATGTCTCGGCCAGCCATGAGGTCGTCTAGCTTCCATAAACCACCTGGCCTTTCGGGTGTCATCCATTCGGCAGATGTGCCTGAACCATTTCAACTGCTTCTCTTTCAGGATGCCACGGATTGATGTCACCTCCAATTCCTCACGGATTCTGTCATTCTGACACAGTCCCTCTTAGTTTTACCACCTATTCTTCGGAGGAATCTCATTTCCGAGGATGTGATCCTGCCTACGTGCTTATCGAGGGTTGTCCAGCTTTCAGATCCATAAAGAAGTACTGGGAGGAACACCGCCTTATATATCGTGAGCTTAGCCTTTCTGCTTACTTACCGTTTTCCTATGATAGTTTTGGCTATCTGGTAATATATCCCATTGGCCTTCATCTATAAGAATTATACCGTCGGCATATAACATAGCTTGAGTCTTGTCAAATTCCAATATCCCACAACATCCCTTGGGATTCTTCTTTTACACACTTTCCAAATTTCATCCATGAAAAGGATAAAAAGCAGAGGACTAAGACTATCCCCTTGCTTTACTCTTTTATAAAAGTGGAAAGGTTCTGATGTGTGTCCATGGAGCCTTATTACACCCTTTGGGTCTTGGTATATTGATTTAATAGCACTCACCAAGTTTGCAGGCACTCTTCTTCTAATTGGTGAGTCTCATATCTCTCGTCTCAGAACTGAGTCGAATGCGCCCTTAAGATCCACAAGTGCTAGATAAACCAATTTTTCACGGTCCCATGCTTTTTCCACAATCATCCGTAGTCAGAATATGTGGTCTTGGGTCTGTCTGCCAGGTCTGAAAGCGGCTTGCTCCTCTAGATCTTGCTCTACTATTGCCTTAGTTGCTGTTCAAGAGTTCTTGTTTATATCTTGTACACAACTGACGAGAGGCATATTGGCCTATAGACAATAGATGACACCAGTTATAATTCATTTGAACTAGGTAGTTCACAGTTCAGCTAGGAATCCCAAGACCTAAAGGAACTAATTTAATTCTCTAGCTCAATGAACTAGCAAGCTCAGAAGATTGAAACCTCTCTATTTCTTTTTAGTTCAATGGGCCTCTAGTTTCAATTTAATTTAGAATGGTTTGAGCTTCATATCATTCTTCTAACTAGAAATAACTAATTACTTGCATTGTTGTTATTGTCTTTTTCATTTCATAAGTCTTGGTGAGACTACTTTTGATAATTTAATATTTCTAATTTAATATTTCATAGGATGATGACAGAAATATTTAGTTCCTTTTAGTTATTTAAATTTTAAATACTCACCAAAAAATTGTTAATAAGTTATCAATTTTATTTGAGTAGAATTTATTACATAAAATCAATCAGAAGTAAAATATAAAGATTGTTATTACTGAATATATATTAAAATTGGAACAGACGATCTGACATATTTAGTTCCATCTGTATTACAGTTGATGGTAACAGTAATAGTTCACGTAGTGAACTACAACTTCTGCCATCTACTGTAACACGATGGTACTAGATCAAGTATCAGATGTGTTACTCTAGATAGCACTGAAATCAGAGTGAACTAATGAACTAGTTCAATAAAGTGAACTGAACTAAATATACTAGTTCCTTAAAAAGAACGATTTTGCCCATCACTATTTTAACATTTATTTTAGGTGGTAGAGCAAATGAATTCATTTCCCCACATAAGTGGCTTTCTTTCAGGACATTTACAGATCACTCTCCCTAGTAACTAATCAGCAGACAAAAATATATAACTCTAACTATAATAATAATATATAACCTAATGATTAAAAAAAAATTATAAAGGATTTGGTTAATTTTTAAAGATGACTGATTTTTGCCAATTTTTTCACGCCCTTGAAACCATACGTTGTTCGATAAAATACTTAGAACATGAATTTTTAGTAATTTTTCATCTTTATTTTAATAAAGGATCACCTTTTACATAAAAAAATTGTTGGAAAACTTCAGATTTATGTTCAGCACCCCATAAAACATAAATGAAGCTGCTAAAAGCAATTGCACTAAAATTTTACACTTCAAGCCATTTTTTACCAAATGTGACTGGATAACGGATCCCATAGATATTTTAATCATTGTGTAAACTTTTTTTGTTTCTTGTATTGTTATTTAACTTGATAATGATAGACTAAGTTATCATATTAAAAAAAAAAACTGGAAACATTATATCCCTCTTTAGTCTTAAATCTTGTCATTTCAAAAATTAACATAATGTTTAGTTGTTTTAATTCAAACCTTGTCAGTCTTCATTGCAAAATAAATATCCTTTAATTATAAGTACAATGGAATTTTCGTTTGATTTGGAATTTTATTTAAATCATGATAGGAATAAAATTGCCATTCATAATTATAAAACTGGAAAAAGGGACTAGGGTGATTATAATAGCATGGAAAGGAGCATTTATTATTCTCTAGTAAGCCGATAACTATAAGAACATGGAATGAGGATTCCTACTGATAACTACTTCTAGCAAACATTTTCCAGTAAGTTTGTAGGCTTTCTAAAGCTGTCAGTTTTTTAACTTGTTCATGTTTTGTATGAAAAATATTGCCTGTTAATAACCTTTCGTCACACTCATTTAATCTGACTGATGAGGTGGATATTATTGTTTTTATTCGTTAACATATTTATTTAACAATACATGTGTATGTTCAGTTTTCCCTTTAATATTTTCTCCTTTAAAATGCTGTGTTTTTCACTTTTGATTATATATGAGCATGCATTTGATTAAATGCATGCATTTCCATAATCTTTTCTTATCATTTATTGCCTATCTTTTTTTCTCCTTAAACTACCACTATTGCTTATGTTTATTCCATAATTCACACCTTATTAACTCAGTACATCTAGCATCCATCTTCAAAAGAAAAATACTGTTTACTGCTGATTCCGCCAGTTGCCCTTTATTGATTTATATATATATTTATAACATTGATAAACAACTTTTCTTAATCCGGCATCACGATCTACTTGGCCAGCAAAAGCCTGCTCCTCCAATATGGTTGCCAGTCCTCTTTGTTGAGTACCAATGTCGTCCAGTTCCATAAACCAAGCAGTATTTTTGTGCCTATAGCCTTAAAATGAAGCTTTGAATATCCTGCTCATCTGGTACCCAACACTCATACTGACATAATTTTTAAAGGAATTAAATTCTGGTTCATCCTAGCATCATGGCCAGCATGACTAAGCTACTCTCATTTTATGCATTTAAATTTTATGAAGATGATTTTGACCTCATTATATATGACACTTAATTCAGTATTGGTTCTTCTTTTTCATAATCTCTACTTACATTCATATCATTATCTACATTCACTTGCGAGCCAAGGTATATAAATTCCGAGACATCTTCAAAAGTTACCCCTCCGATTTCTACATTTACCTCTGTGTGACCTCTTCCCTTTGGATAAACTTTGTTTTCTTCTCATTGACTTTTAAGCTAATTCTCGCTGCTGCTCCTTGTAGCGCTAAGAAAGCATCTTTTATAGCTGTCTTTGTTCTTCCAACCAATACAATGTCATTGGCAAACTCCAGTAATTGCACTGAATGATTAAAGACTGTTCCACCAATCTAAATTTGGGATCTTCTAATGACACATTCGAGGGAAATGTTGAATAGGAGACACACTAAGCAATCTCCTCGGCGCAGTCCCTTCTGCATTTCAAAGTAGTCCGACATATCGTCTTGGATCTTGACAGCGCATTGCACCTCCTTCATTGTCACTTCTATCAGTTGCACAAGTTTAGGTGGCAAACCCAGGCCCAACATATCATGATAGAGCTCATCCCTTAGGATGCTATCATAAGCTCATTCAAAGTCTACAAAGAGGTAGTGTGTGCCATACATTATACTCTCTTGCCCTCTCTAGGATTGTTCTAATAGCGAATATTTGGTCGACCGTAGATCTTCCTCGCATGAATCCAGCTGATTACACACCTAAATCAATTTTTCAAGAGATTTTTAATCGTCTTTGGTTAAGAGATTCTAATTACATTATCATAGAAAAAAATAAGTGGCAGACAGTCAAGGCTATCAGTTTGTTGTAACATTTGATTTCATTTGAAAACCTTGTGGCATACAACTTTTTAGATTTTTAATCTGCTCTGATCCAAAATTAATTATCACCTTTTCTTAATCTGTGAAATACTGTCTAGAAAAGATGAAAAACTGATTTTAATTTACATGACTATAACTATCAAGTACCCTACTTAACTCAGATAATATAGCTTAGATAATTGCCAATTATTACCATATGTGTTTAAATTAGAGAAAAACAGAAATTTGCCAGTTTTCGAAATACAATAAGAGGCACATTTCCCTATAAGTCCCCACCCTTCCCTCTTTTCATTCTTTTACTAATGCCATTTTTCTTTTTTTACATT